AGAAATAGTTTAGTGGTGAGATCAAAGGAAGCCATTAAAAATTCCAGTGGAATAGACTATAATAATATATGGCATTATGCTTTTATTAACTTCTTGATCCAGTAGTGTTGGAATGAATGAAGAACATTCCAAAAACAATTAAAATGAAAACCTCATATTAAACAAATAGCAAAGTCACGTTTCTAAAAGTCATGTATCTATCAGGGTGTGAGCTATTAGGGAAGATGAATTAAAGTCAGATGTAGAGTAGGCTTCTGAACATCTTTAGCATGATTTGATAAAGCTTCTGCCCTTCCCTCATCCCTCTTTGTTGCTGCCTTTCTTAAAGCTGAAGGTTGGGCCTTACCCAGGAAAGAGAGGTAGAATTAAGCAGCCCACAGACCATACCTAGCTAGATGTTATGGATACCACACTCTCATCCTAGTCTGGACTACGGCTAGGATGGCTTAGTGGCTTTATAAAAGGAATTCATTTTTTTTGCTAGGATTGTTTAGGGAAACTAGTGTTAAGTGGTGCCATGTGCAGAAATAGCTGAAGAATAGATCATCCAGAGGATATTTAATGAATATATGCTGATAGTACTGTTCATTTAGACTGGTCTGTATTATAAAGCTAGAAAAAAATGTAGGATTAATAAATCTCACTGTGTGATTTTATTGAGAAATGGAAGGCAGGTAGATTTATCTTGTCATTAATTTTAGCCTTTCAGTCTAATATCAAAAGGGTCCACTTCACCCCACATATGCATTCTAGAATACATATGAATTCTAAAGCATATACCAGGTTTATCCCCTTTTAGTTCTTGAAAACAAAAGCATGCAAATAGTTTTTAAAAATTGCAAAATGTGGGGCTCAGCTCCTATAGCTCAGCGACTAGGGCTTTAGTCATATACACCAGAGCTGGCAGGTTCGAACCCAGCCCGGGCCTGCCAAACAACAATGATGACTACAACCAAAAAATAGCTGGGCATTGTGGCAGGCACATGTAGTCCCAGCTACTAGGGAGGCTGAGACCGCAGAATCGCTTAAGCCCAAGAGTTTATGGTTGCTGTGAGCTGTGACGCCATAGCACTTCTACCTAGGGCAACATAGTGAGACTCTGCCTCAAAAAAAAAATTGCAAAATGAGGCACTTACTCATACTAGCTTCTTGTATGGCCCTTTAGGAAATATTTTAGTATATGTCAATATCAATAGTCATTGCTATTTAAAGCAGATTTTAAAATTTACACAGTTATATAAGAAAGGAGAGAGGGGAAAACACTAGAATCATAGCCCAAAATCTAATATAGAAAATGAGAATGGCGCTCATGCTTGTAATCTCAGCACTCTGGGAGGCCAAGGTGGGTGAATTGCCTGAGTTTAGGATTTTAAGACCAGCCTAAGAATGAGACCCATCTCTAAAAATAGCTGGGCACTGTGGCAAGCATCTATAGACCCAGCTACTTGGGAGGCTGAAGCAGGAAATCACTTGAGCCCAAGAATTCAAGGTTACTGTGAGATAGCACTCCACCAAGGGCAACAAAGTAAGACTCTGTCTCAAAAAAAAAAAAAGAATATGTGAATGTTTAGTTAATTTGTACCACATTACAAAAATTCAAAGGTATTTTAAATAGGAAGATATAGACTGAAAGAAATATTTGTGACAGCAACTTTATTTTTATTTTTTTTATTAAACCATTAATAAATCATTAAATGATTAATTAAATCACATTAATGCAACCATGGGGTACAATGTGCTGGTTTTATATACAATTTGAAATATTTTCATCAAATTGGTTAACACAGCCTTCACAGCATTTTCTTAGTTATTGTGTTAAGACATTTATATTCTACATTTAGTAAATTTCAGTTGTACCCAACAACTTTAATAATAATAAAATGTCATCTTTGTTACCTCTAGCTTCAGGCTGATGCCATCAGTGCTTTTGGAGAATCACTACAAAAGAAACTTCTGGACATTGAAGGATTATATTCAAAAGTTCGATCTCGATATAGTTTCATACAGGCTCTTGTCAGACGTATCCGTGGCCTACTGAGGATATCAAGGAACTGACAACTTGTGCTTATGCTCTTCTGTAGAAGAGACGAATTGGGGAAACTGTCTCCTTTTTATAGACTACTTTGTTTCTAAATTATGACCAAAAAATATTTTGCTATTTCTTTCTTTATATATGGACATTTTTTCTGTAAACTTCTTTGCCTGGTTCCATCCTCACTATTAAAAAATAAATACTTTTAAAAAGAAACAAAACAAGCATCTAGTTAGTCTTTTGAAATTTTGTATAGAAACTGATTGACATTATCAGCAATCTAACAAATAAACTTTCCACAGTAGCGATACTACTCTGAAGACCAAGTTAAAGGCACAGTTTGGAGTAGAGTAGATAATAAACCATAACCTTGTTCTTTTATAGGATAATGTACTCAATAATGTGAAAATGTATTATGGAAATATCTCAGAAAATCAAGGCATTTCTTTCCTAAAACTATTTAGCCTTTGCTTTTTTTCTTTTCTGCATAGAAGATGACAATACAGTGGTCATTTGTTATCCAAAGGGGATTGATTCTAGGACTTACACATCCACTGATGTTCAAGTTCAAGGAACAGTATTTGCATACAACATTGGCATATCCCCCACATGCTTTAAATCATCTCTAGATTAATTCTAATACCTAATGTAAATGCTAAATAAAAAATTGTTATACTATAGTTTCAAATTATTTTTTATTGTATTATTTATTTTCCAATTTTTTTAAATTTCATTTTTTAAATTTCAAATTAATATGAGGGTATAAATTTTTAGGTTACAGTGTTCTCACTCCCTGGGTAAAGTTCCATTTATTTTCCAATATTTTTGTTCTTCATTTGGTAGAATCTGAAAAAGTAGAAGACTATAATAATTTGCATTTTTTCCTTAGAAATGATTATGAAATTTCTCAAAATGATCATCTGCTGATATAACTACTATGATAGCTATCTACCACTAGGACAGAAAATTTACTTAATCATCACTCATTTCTTAGTTAGTTGTTATTATTTTCAAGTGATCACATCATCTGAAAGTATATTTTTACCTTTCTGGCCAGCAGTTATTTTAGCCAAATATATAGGAGAGACATGCTGAGACGCAAAATGTCTTGATTTTCATGTATTAGCAGAAAATTAATACTTAGTTCTATAGTGTTATGGTGCTGCTTTAAAAAAATTTTACAGTAACATTTCTATGGCTTTTTATCATCTTTTACAATAGGCTTTGTCAGTGTTATTTTGAGGTTAATTCAGTGCTCACTAGTTATAAACATTACCATTTACCTGGAAAGCATCCGATTAATAAGTTCAAGTCTTAGAGGGATGTGAATAAATAAATACCTGGATCCAAAATGTCATAATGCCTGTTGCACTGCTGGTCAGGTCTGTGGTGATCTTTGTTGTTTAACACAGGCATGAACCCAGAGATAATCAGCTAAGGGCCTGGGGCATGAAATCAAAGCATTTTATAAACCTCTGAAGTGTGAAGACTTCCTAACAGGAGAAATATATTAGCTAAATTTGGAATTAATTAAGATTTTGGATTTATTAACCTTCGTTGTCTTGTTTTCTAATTTTTTTTTTTAATTACAGCTGGCTGGTTCAGAAGTTTGGGCGGTGGAGAAGTGTGTGGGAGGCAGTGGCAGGAAGGACTGCAGCTTCATTGTGCAGCTGACCAGAAATGATGTTTGTCTGAAACAGGAAGGACAGGCTAACACTGGGCTAGACTCTGTGCCCTGGGGCATTGTGTGCGGTAGGGCATAGAGAGTGGGCACTGTCCAATAAAGCAAAGCAAAAGGGATAAAACCAGGTTTTAGATATTTTGTTTTCAGTTTTAACATGTAAAGGTAAGTTTGTTTATTCCTCAACAATACCAAATGCAGGATTTAAATTTGTTGTTTCTACCGAGTTAATCAGTTTGGTGGGATTAGAATATCAAAAACAGGTATTCTTCTAAGTCATTACTTTTGTAGTTTTGATATAGAAATTGTACGTCAAACTATCTGAGCTGTAATAGCTATTGATATTAATACGCAACCTAGCCTTTTCTAAATATATATTATTTTTCCTGCATTATCTTGAAAAATTTTGAATCTTCTGAAGACTTGGAAGAAAAGTACAATGAACCCATGTACCTTTCACCTAAATTCATTCCTTGTCAACAGTTTGCACATTTGTTACTTTTTGTATTTATACAGTTTTTCTCTTAAGTCGTAGACATTGTGACACTTTTAGCAACTGAGAACAAGTGTATCTTCCTTCCTAATCAGTAATGCCATTATCACATTGAAGGCATTTGATGACAAAATATGTGTACAATAAGAATTCCTAATATTCTGACATTAAAATGTCCTCAATTATCCCCCAAATGTACTTTGGAACTTCTTTTTTGACCCAGGATTTAATCAAGAATTTACCTTTATTCTGTAACAGTTCCTTGCCTTTTTGGAGAAGTGAGTGGATTTCATAACTGACATTTTTTACCCTTTGTTTTCTTTTGATTAGATCCAGGTTAAGCATTTTTGGCCCAAATAAAGCTGTACAGGTGATATTATGCCCCCAGTGTGACCCATCAGGAGGTACTTATCTGTTCACACCAGACCAATGACTAGCATTTATTGATCCCTCACATCTTATTTGGTCCCCACCACAGCTCAACAAAAGGGCTGGTGTTGGCACTGTTTACAGAGTTGGAAACTGAACCCAAGGTTAACTGCCTGGTTCATGGCTGCCAGGTGGTGCAAGACAACCATGACTTTGACCCCGCTGTGCCAGACTGCAAGGGATGGTGCCCGAGCCTCATCCGGTTCTAGGCCAGGGAGCCCTAAGTCAGGATGCGCATCAGAACTCTCCGCGAGCCGACCCAGGCTGTGAGCCTGGCGAGCTCCGCCAGGGGGCACCTCTAACTGCTTCCGGGTGCGGGGGTGGTAGGGGCGGGCCGTGACTCGGAAGTCAATGGCGGATCCCGCCCCTCGAGCGGTCAGGCTCGGACCGGCCTGCGGAGCTGCAGCCGCCCTTAGCACCCTTTACGTCGACAACATGCTCCAGTTCCTGGTGAGTGGAGCTGCCGAGGAGAGGGCTAGCGGCTTGGGTTTCAGCTCGGGCCCCTTTTCTCCTCGAGGCGGCCTTGGCCGAGGGACCTGGATGTAGTCCCGCGGTCCCCTGCGCCCCGCGCCTGCTCGTCGCGTCTCTGGGTGGCCTGTAGGGTTTCCTTCGCCGGCTGGGGGATTTGTAGGGAGGCGGAAAGAATCCTACAGGCCACCTTGAGAGGGGACGACCAGGCGTGAGGGCTCAGGGGACCGCGGGAACTGCCTCCCCATAAATCCCTTTGCCAGTGTTTTTATGCAGCCATCCAAGTGTGAAACTTTGAGGCGTCACAGTCTTCAAAGCTGCTTACTGTGAGCCGCGCCTGCACCCCTGCTGTAATCCTCGTATTAAAGCGCGTGTGACCCCCTTTGTGCCCTCTCGCCCCCGACATGGACACAGCCCTTTTCCTGACTTAGAGCCCTGCTGGTTGGCATTTTTAGAAAGTGGGAGGGCGGGAGGGACAGGAATAAAACCTTAAATTAGCCATCATACGAGGTCAGTCCGAGTCAGAGGTTTAGGGAGCCCTCACTAGATCTTTTAGTGAGTCAGACACTGACATACAAGTAATTCTTTCCAAAATGAGTATGCATGAGTAAGCAGATTCTTTTTCATGGCTCATTATTTGAGTTAAAAACGAATTTTCTGGCAAAACTGAATGTATTTCAAAGATCACCTGGTGAAAGGTTCAGGAAGACTTGCCAAATTTATAAGTGAAAGTTTTTTTCTACCAAGATTTTGTGCATTCAGAACTTGAAGTTTTCGCCCGCTAATTCTTAAAAGAGACAGATAAGCTATTACTTTCAGATACTCAGTGCAGATCTGGTGCTCTGGGAATGAGATGCTTTTCCAAATGCTATATCAAGGACATTAAAACACAAAACATGCCTCATCTGTCCTTTGAAAGATGGCAGGTAATTGATGGTGAAATCCAGTTAATCAAAAGAGAGTATTCTTCACCCAAACTGCCCAACTAAGACAGGGCTGCTCCTTTACCTCTAGGAATTTCTCCAGTGTCCTAACTAGGCGTTTAGAGTTGGGAACAGTTACCGTCATTTACTTGCAGAAAACACTAGGTTAAAACAGTATCACTTTGGTCCAGGTGTAGGATGATATAATTGCGCCACCTACCACATCTGTTGCTCATTGATAAATTTGGAAGACTTGACTCAATTACAGTTAAGGGCTCAATTAAAGGCTTTTGCATAATAAATTAATAAACTTTTTTGCTATATAGAAATGCGGATTTTGATTTGAGAACTCAGAATTCTCAGCATTTAAGCAAAGATGCCAAAACCATCCATTCAGTTTCTAGCTTGGAAGTAACTGGAATTCTGATGTTCTCTCCCTCTCTGGTTTTTCACTTCATTTCTTTTGTTGAAAAAAAAATTTTTGACATTGATTCTACCTCTGTCAAATGATTCAAATTTTTGTGAATTTTTGTGAATTTTTGACATTCATTCTACCTCTGTCAAATGAAAAAAATATTTTTGACATTGATTCACTAACTCTGTGAAGGTGGGCATGTCTGTCTTTTTGCTTTCAGTCATTTCATCTATAAAACAATGACTATCATGTCCTAGTATTTAAGAGGTTAGACTCCAGAATCAGACTTTTGAGTTTGATCCCTGCCTCCATCATTTTCAAGCAATGGGAACTTGGGCAGATTATTTAAATCTCCTATGCTTCAGTTTCCACATCTGAAAATGGAAACTCAACTCATGCCTTCATTGTGAAGATTAAAAACAAATCAGCACGTTAAAGTACTTAAAAATGGATTCAGATATTATTTGGGTTTTCTTTTGTGGGATGTCAGTTGAACTGTGATTTAGTTTCTTCTCAGAAATGGGGATTAGCTTCCCTAAGAAGGGTATATGATGGGAAAGGTTTGGAAGTGATGGAACAGTCACAAGTTAAGCATGTGCACTGTCATCACACATTTTGGAACCCTCTAAGATGTTTCCTACAGCTGTCTTTGTGGAGCACAGTTGGAAAACCACTATATTCGATTGTGCTGTTTGTATGTTCCTTCCATTGTTCATTCCTCCTGGGATTAAAACACCCATTTTCCTTATCTTTACTCCTTGTTCATGAGATTTTGCTGCCTCTTTTTTCCTTTCCTTGTACTGCAGTAGCTTCCTTAATTGTATGGTTTAGCTGTAGCTACTTTAAGGGTGCTTTGGAAGGTTACCTAATACATACTGCAAAGGCACTGCTGGGGCTTTCAGCACACTGCCTATAGTACTGTTACTGTTATAATCTGTTGCTTTTCTTACCTCTTAAACTCCCTAGCATTTTGAGGGATGATCACATCATCTTTAATCCCTCTTCCTTGGCTTTGGGACCCCATACCTCAATATTTTCCAACATTCTTTCACATTATAACATACCAGAATTATTTTTACGGAGGAACCTGCACAGAGTGAAGGTGATAGGCTCTGGGTGCTGGCAGCTCCACAGGCTGAGGGAATCATATCTGGTTGCACCAGTTAGGGAACTGCTGTATCAATTCTCCTGTTTTTACTGGCTGCTTTTCCTGTTTCTTGGTTACTATATGTTGCTCAAGGGTCAGTCCTTGATCCTTTCTCCAAACCCACCCTCATTGTGTGATCTTTGTCATGCCATCGCCTTTCACCTCTTTGTGGACAGTTTCCAGAACTACCTGAGTCTTTTTCTCTGAGTTATAGTTTCTGGCATCAGCTGCCTACAGAACATTTTTGTTCTGATCCTCTATCTCAGATCCCACATGTCTGGCCTTGCTGCCAGTCCCGCCCCAGCCCCCATTCCCTACTCTGCACCTAGGTTTTTTCTTTGTTCTCCTATCCTGAGTCTCCCAAGTTTGAAATGTTGACATGATCTTTGATTTATTTCCTGTCTTAATTTCCTGTATCATTTACCCACCATGTGCCTGGCACATATAGTATTTTACCAACTATGCAATCTTGGGTAAGTTACTTAACTGCACTGTGACTCAGTTTCCTCAACATTAACTGTGCAGTAATGGTACCTACTTTATAAGGTTGTGAAGAGCATGAGTTAATGCATGAAAAGAGAGTTAGAGTCCTACCTTACATGTAGTAAGCACTCAGTATATGTTAATTATTGTTTTAAGCCGTTAAATCTTCACTAACCACCTTATGAAGAGTTTTCTCTGTGTGTTCCCACTGCCAGCGTCACAGGGCAAGTCTTTTTCACTTCAGTCTGGGACGAGGTACACTAGATAGCTGGTGTAGAATTGTCAATGTGTTGTTGGAGAGATGTTTTAGGTTCTCTAGTCCAGCTAATATGTAGATGTTTCTTCAGCCTTCACTGCTAAGGGGCATCCCCTTTACGCTTGGTCACCTCTATTTACAATAGGGCTCATTATTTCCTCTGGAACCTTATACATACTTTTACACATTTGGCACTTCTCTCAACCCCTCTCACTCCCCTCTTCCATCTTGTCTTTCAGCTAAACATTTCTTCTTCCATCCATTCTCCATGCTTTCAAGTTCATGCTGGTTACACTTCTCTAAATATGGCGCTGCCCTGACAGTCTGATAAGCCATAGAAAAGCAGGGCTATTGCCTCTAATTCTGTATGTATCTTTGCTGCCCTTGGCTCTGTCCTTCCCTCTTGCAGCTGCCAGAGTAATCAAGATTAACTGCCTTACTCACGTGCTCAGAAACTGTCAGTGGCCCCTGTGTCCATCCTTCCACATCAAATCATAATAACTTTCACTTGATTTTTACTTGATTTTGGTGATGTGGCTCCATTTTCCTTTCACACTGCCCTTCAACATAGAGGCCTTTATTTTAGGTTGGCTAATCTCAACCAACCTGTGGGCCTTTTTGTGCTCAAAACTTTCCACATTGTTTCCCCTTAATCCTGGTCTTTATCTTCCTTGCTACTCTTTGTGGACTAACTCCCATCTTTCTCCATGAGGCCTTCTTGATGAATTTAGCTCCTGACATCTTCACACCATTATATCTTTTTTTTTTTTTTTTTTGGCAGTTTTTGGCCGGAGCTGGGTTTGAACCCACTACCTCTGGCATATGGGGCTGGCGCCCTACCCTTTGAGCCACAGGCACTGCCCACACCATTATATCTTTACGATCCATCTCCCATTTATTTAGGTCTTATATGTAGTACATATGTCTTTCATTGGTGTTTTAAACTTCTGAGTTATCTTACACCTTATTTACTGTATTAATTTCTAGGCACTTTTTCATTTTGTGTTATTGTGAGTAGTGACTTTTTAAAAATTACATTTTCAAATTAGTTGTCCCATAGAAATGCTAATAATTTTGGCATTTGGATTTCGGATCCAGCAATCTTGCCTGTCTTTTAGCTCCAATAGTTTGTCAGTTCACTTGGAAGCGAACCAGTGAAGGCAGTTGGCAAAGGCATTCATGTTTCCAGTGGAGGCAAAAATCGACAGTTTTGTGTTCTTTTCAAATTTGTATTACTCCTATTTGTCCGTCCTCCCTTTCGTCATGTAAGCTAGGACTTAAGTTGAAGTAATGGGAGTGGGACATCCTAGTTTTGTTTTTGCTTTTAGGGAGAATGCTTCTCAAGTTTTAGTATGGTGTTTGTGATATTTTCTAACAAATTAAAGTAATTCCCTTCTATTTCTAGCTTAAGAGTTTGGGCTGGATGCGGTGGCTCATACCTGACACTTTGGGAGGATAGCTTGAGGCCAGCAGTTCCAGACCAGCCTGAGTGAGAGAGCAAGACCTTGTCTCTACAAAAAATTTTAAAAAAGAAAATTAGCCAGGGATGGAGGTATATGCCTGCAGTCTAAGCAAGGCAGAAGGATCACTTGAGCCCAGGAGTTTGAGCATGCAGGGCAGGTGTTATCACTGCACCCTATCCCAGGTGACAAAGTGAGCCCTGGTCTCAAAAAAAAAAAAAATGTGGCTAGCTATTGGATTTTGTCATGCTGTTTCCCCATCTGATGATCATATTATTTTTCTGCTTTAATATGTTAC